GACCTAACAAACCACTGAAGAATATAGGGTGCAGAGCTTTAATCAGTATAAGGATAAATATCTATTGTGTACTGTTGGATACACAGAGCTAAAGTTAAAAATATTTCCTGAATCACTTCAGGAAGGTCATATAGGGTTTTCTTCTGGGACCAAGTAGCCACATATATTAAGCAAAATGTCAAAAAAAAAATGTTTAAGAGGCGATTTACACAGTACTTAACTTTTTTCTCTTGAGAATTCATTATGTGTTTGATTATATGTACATGATACATGTAATTACATGAACTATTTTCAAAAGGAACATTTCTGAAAGGTTTTAGAGATTTTGACAAATTAATGTGTGTCAAGCATGTATAATAGAATAAAAGGCAGAGTCTGAAGAAAGAGAGTGAAAACACATCAGTAGTTACTGGCTTATTCATAAGTTATTGGCCTTTGTGTGACAGAAGGTGAACTTTGATTAACTGCTTTTAAGAGGATGAAAAAAGTGTTCTTGACTTCAGAGAAACTTTCAGTGTCAACAATGCCCCTTCATTCCATAATATGGTAAATTAATTCTATTAAACTTGAAACACTGCCAAGCACATTATGATGCTCAATTTCAAGAACATCAATCTAGTTCATTTAGCCTTGAATTTAAGTCTAATTGCATCTTCTGTTTGCTGTTGATCTACCATTCCCAACTGAACTTTTATTTCTCCTTTGCATGCCCTCTCCTCTAGCCAGGCCACTCAACTCACAGGTCCCTGAATACAGAATGTCTTTAATATTTTTACCTTTCTATCTTTGTCTCTGTTATTCCTTCTGCCTGAAATAGCCTTTTCCTTCATTTTTGGCTAACAAATTTCAAACCTTTAAAAAGTCATACCAGTTTGGCATAATCTTTCATTTTATTAATATTTATAGTGTTAATGTATCATTCACTTGTAATTATGATAAGATTCATATCTCATCCTCTTTTTAACACTTTTCCAACTTTCATAGCAATTGTGAGTGTTAAATATTAGTTGATTATATATGTATATATTTCATTAAATTAAATTGACTCAATTTAAAGTATATCATATTTTATGTATAAACTAGATATATTGTAATACCAATCATTGTGATATTGTCCTGATTTTTTCAATGTAGGTAACTGCAGATTGGATACATGGCTCACACAAATGAATCAGTGGTGTCTGAGTTCGTACTTTTGGGACTGTCTAATTCTTGGGAACTTCAGCTTTTCTTTTTTGCCATCTTCTCTATAGTCTATGTGACATCAGTGCTAGGCAATGTCATAATTATTGTCATCATTTCTTCCGACTCTCATTTGAACTCTCCTATGTACTTCTTGCTCAGTAACCTTTCTTTCATTGACATCTGCCAGTCTAACTTTGCCACTCCCAAGATGCTTGTTGACTTTTTTTTTGAGCACAAGACTATCTCCTTTGAGGGTTGCATGGCTCAGATATTCCTTCTTCATAGTTTTGTTGGAAGTGAGATGATGTTGCTTGTAGCTATGGCATATGACAGATTTATAGCTATATGTAAGCCCCTGCATTACAGTACAATTATGAACCGGAGGCTATGTATAATTTTTGTGTGTATTTCCTGGGCTGTGGGTATTCTTCATTCTGTGAGCCACTTGGCTTTTACAGTGGATCTGCCATTCTGTGGTCCCAATGAAGTAGATAGCTTCTTCTGTGACCTTCCCCTGGTGATAGAGCTTGCTTGTGTAGATACATATGAAATGGAAATCATGATCCTAACCAACAGTGGCCTGATATCACTGAGCTGTTTTCTGGCTTTGATTATTTCTTACACCATCATTTTGATCACTGTCCGGCGCAGGTCCTCTAGTGGGTCATCCAAGGCACTTTCTACATTAACTGCCCACATCACAGTGGTGATTCTTTTCTTCGGACCTTGCATTTATTTCTACATATGGCCTTTCAGCAGACTGCCTGTGGATAAGTTTCTTTCCGTCTTTTACACTGTTTGTACACCCCTATTGAACCCCATCATCTACTCCCTGAGGAATGAAGATGTTAAATCAGCCATGTGGAAGTTAAGAAGCCGTCATGTGAACTCCTGGAAAAACTAGGAATCACCACGAGGGAGCCAGAGCCATAATCTTCTTTTTATTTCAGCATATTACGGGGGTACAAATGTTTAGGTTACATAAATTGCCTTTGCCCCAACTGAGTCAGAGCTACAAGCATGTCCATTCCCAGATGGTGCGCGCCACACCCATTAGGTGTGTATATATCCATCCCCTCTTCCCCCCCATCTGCTCGACACCCGATGAATGTTATTACTATATGTGCACTTAAGTGTTGACCAGTTAGTACCAACTTGTTGGTGAGTACATGCGGTGCTTGTTTTTCCATTCCTGTGATACTTCACTTAGTAGAACTGGGGAGCCATAATCTTGAATTAGTATGAAGACCCTCCATGGATGACATCATGCCAATCATCTTTGCTATTGATCTGGGTTATTGAGTCCAAAACGCAAGGAAATTGCAAAAATTAGTTTCTGGTTCTATTTAAATAGAATTTTAATCATTTTTTCATTGTTTTAATTCTAAAATACAAACTCCTACAGAGGACTTGGAGATCCTAGAGTGCTTGAAATGTTGCTCATGTTAGTACATGTGATTGTCTGCAATTAAATACAAATATTAATTGAATACATATATTAGACCTTGCTATCAAGATGTATAAGCAATTTGAATTTCTGGTATATTCACTCAATTTATTTATAACATTATTTCATATATTGACATAGTAGAAAAATCATCATATTTTATAACATCTCATCTCATTAGTATACATTTGTTATCTTTTCCTTGTGTATTGAATATTTTGGTTATTCGTAATTTGGTTATTATATATTTAGTTATTTAAAGTTTTCCCTATTTTCTAATCTGTTATTTTTTTCTTTTAGATTATTTGATATGAATTTCCACTTATTATAAAACTTTTTCTAGGTATTTAGTGTCATCAACAGCATATGTATATATATTTTTCCAAGTCTACATGGGAAAAAAATCAACTTTTATTTAAGTAACTGTAGATTGGATATATGTCTCATACAAACAAATCAATGGTGTCTGAGTTCATATTTTTGGGACTTTCTAACTCTTGGAAATTTCAGCTATTCTTTTTTGCCATCTTCTCTATAGTCTATGTGACATCGGTGCTAGGCAATGTCATAATTATTGTCATCTTTTCATCTGACTCCCATTTGAACTCTCCTATGTACTTCTTGCTCAGTAACTCTTCTTTCATTGAGACCTGCCAGTCTAATTTGGTTATAATGAATTGCTTATTATTCACAAAAAATCTTTGCAATTGTTTGTAAATATGACAGATGTTGACTATTTTAGTTCAAAGAAAAAGACAATTCCATATGTATCTAAAACATAAAAATGCACAGAGTGACATGAATTATTTGCAACTCAGGATCAACCCTGAAATCTATTCTTTTATACTTCTTTGATAACAGAAAAGGAAAATACATGTACATTTAATAATAAAGATAAATAGAATCTATTGAGTATTGTTTTATTTTTAGCCAAAAGTTTTCTTATGTACTTACCCCTGAGATGTTTTTCATTCTGAAAAAGGCCTTGTAACAGTAAGACTAAATGTATTATAACAATGAAAAACAGAACTACTTAACAGAAAATGGAAAACATGAGATTGTCATCATTCTGGATTCAGTATTTTAATTATACCATAAAATTTAAGTTAGTGATTTTGTGCACATATATTAACTCTGCATGCTAAGTCCTAGTGGAAGCAGAATTTTAGATATAGATGCACAGTGTTATTGAGCCATCATGCTATTTGTCTTTTTTGGGAAGGGAACTTCAGATTTTTTGTCAGCGTCATATGTACACTGCAAACATGGTAGTGATCTGTTAAACTTGTATACCTGTCATATTTTTTATACAGTGCCAAAACAGTTTGGATGGACAATAAACATAACAGCTGTCATGATATTGTTGGTAGTAGTATTTTTTTCCTCTGACTTGCTAGTGAAAGTGTATAGGCATTGACGTGCACTTAAAAACGAAACTCATTTCACTGCTCTTATACCCAGCATTCTCATGTGTACAATGAAGTTGTTAATATAGATATTTCCAGGAATTATGTGATATAATGGAAACAAAAGCATTTTATGAGGCATAAAAAAGTATACAAATTGTTTTAGTAGTACTACTTTTGAATAGTTAATTTCACAGACAACTGAATGGTTATGAATTCTGTGCTGGCAAGCTTTTGCTTCTTCTGCTTGTAAAGTAAACTAAATTGATAGTGCATGTTCACATTTCCCCAAACTGTTTTCCATTTTCAACTTATTAAAATGCACAACTCTGAATTTAGAATTTTGCAGTGAGCACTTATTAGCACCAACTTAGAAACCTAATCAAATATATTCAACAACAAATAAATGTGTAATGTGCACAACACACTCTCTCAGGATTATACAAAGATGAGTTGATCTTGTCTGTCAAAATCTTAGAATAAAACATAACAGAAATTAAATAAATGGAAATAATTAAAATATAAGGTAGATTTTGATAAATGTCATAGTGGAGGTAACGTACTATAGAAATGAGAAAGAAAATTATACTTCTCTCTCCTGGAATTAAGAAAGATATATGGAAAGGAGAATAGATTTGGACTTTGATGTTTAGATGATGGCTTAATTTCCTAGGAATGCCATAACAAATTTCTACAAAATGTGTGGCTTAACACAACAGAAATTTATTGTCTCACAATTCTGAAGGCTAGAAGTCCAAAATCAAGGTTTTGGCATAGTTGGTTCCTTTGCAGTCTCTGAGAGAGAGAGACAGTCCTGTGATGGCTAATTTCGTATGTCAACTTGACTCGATTAAGAGATGCCCAGATACCTAGTAAAACATTATGTGAGTGTATCTGTGAGGGTGTTTCCAGAAGAGATTAGTATTTAAATCAGTAGACAGAATAAGAAGATTAATCCTCACCAATATGGGTAGGTATCATCTAATCCTTTGAGGGCCCAAATAGAACAAAAAATCTAAGGAAGGGTGAATTATCTTGTTCCTTGAGATGGGGCAGACATTTTTTCCTGCCCTGGGACATCAGAACTTCTGTTCTTGGGTCTTCATACTCTGCAACACATGCATTAGATTACATGATACTTTTCCATGCTTCATTTCTTTAAACACTTTTTTCCTTATATGCTCCATATTATGAGGTTCATTATAAAAATAAAATATATTTAAAGTTCAGAAAAATGGGAGGGGAGAAATAAAAGTATACTGTTGTAAAGTTCTAACTATATTATATTATATATCATATAGCATATATAATATAATATGATATTATATATCATATAATATAATATAGCATATTGTCTATTATATAAGATAATGAGGGAGAAGCCAAGATGATTGACTAGAAACCAAGGTTGTTGGGCAGTCTCAGCAGAAGAGTTGAGGATTGGACTGAGGAGAGCGGAGAGTGATTACTGCTTAGAAGTGGACCACGGGGACAGATACTAGTGGAGTCTGAGGACACCACCAGGAGGAACTGAGCAGCTGAGAGAGAGGAGGATACAAGTGAGTAATTGGTGTGAACCAATTCCAGGGAGTTCCAGAGTTCGGGGAAAGGGTAAGGTTTTTTGCCCCCTCTTCCACCTGGGTGCCTCAGGCCAGCAACAGGACACAAGGCTCTCATCCCACAGGGAAGGGGTGGGGTGCCACAAGAGACCAGAGAGCCAGCATCCTTGCATCTGGACACCTCCTCCTCTGCACCTCCTCCACTCTTGGCATCCCAGGAAGTAATTTTTGCTCAAGCCACTCATAGCCATGTGGCCACACCCACCCCATAGCAACCACCAAAGCACCTTGCGCTGAGTGACTTGGCTGTCCGCAACTGGAGTGCACTCGCAGCGAAGCATGCCTCGGGAGAAAGGAATGCGCTCCCAAGGCAAATTCCCAGTCCAGCCTGCCTCTGACAGTGTAGCTGCCACAGCGGCTTGCAGACGAGGGTGTATAGGTGTCCTCCACAAACTGGAGAGTAGCGCAGGAAGTCTGTAGCCCCTTCCTCAAACCATAACAACCGCTAGAGTTCTCTGTGATGAGTGACCTGCTTTCAGCACCAGGGGCGCGTTTCCACTTCCAGCTGGCAGGGCAACCTCAGTTTGTGACCTTCCCGCCCACTGGCATTTGGTGTGTTTACCTGCTGACTGTCACAGACAGTGGGGTGGGGAGGCATAGGGGAGAGATCCTGGTTCCAGGGTGGGTGGCAAGGGAGAGCCCGTGCCCATCCAGAAGATGTGGAGGAGCACAAGAGAGCAGGGTTCTGTGGGTGTGCCCCCTTTTCCGACAGAACCACCATATTGGAGTTTGCTGTGCCATTGTGACTCAATTTGAATAAATACTGGTTCCCATAGCAACCGAATGCCTCAGGTGCCCTAGTCTGCATCACAGCAGCTGCCCTCACCACCACTCACTTTAACAGGGAGTTAAGCTTGAGCTGTCGCTATTCCCCTGGTGGGAGCATCCCCCTGGTGGAGACTTCTGGGGATAGAGTAGTCCACCTGCCTTGTGGTGGGATCTAGTGGCAGAAAAGGAGAGCAAAATTGGAGATGCTTCTATCTGCCAGCAATATGCAGAGACGCATGCCAGTGGGCCAGACGCCCAAACTGTGGGGAAGCTCAAGACCCCATCTTGGGTGGAGAAGAAACACAAGTGGACCAATGGGAGGGGAAAGTTCCAGGGCTTGCAGAGAGACAGAAAAAGCCTGGCTAGAGGCTTCAGCAATTGCACAAGTAGACCCCTCCCATCAAGAGCAGCCCTCCAAGCTTGGAGAGATAGCCCTGAACTCCACATCAGCAGCTCCTCCTAGTGGCTGGATAAGCAACTTCTGAGCCCAATAGAGAGGCTCATGCACCCAGGCTCTTGTACCACACCTATGATCTACCTTGCTGCTCCTTCCACCTCATGGGGGAGCAGGGTCCAACCAACCCCTGGGAGCCACAAGTCCCCTCCCAAAGCTTGAGACATTCATATACCCCACCTGGGGGACCAGAGTTACCATGGGCCCAATACATTACTCAGTAACTGGCTCCACCATGCAAACTACAATCAAATACAGCAGGAACAGCCTCATAGCTAAACATAGTGTCTTCCATTTCAAATTATTAGGGAGCACTGGATTTGTACCCACAAGTACAATCCACCAGCTTGGAGCTTAAATTAGAGGACCAAACTTACTACATTTCATTGAGAAGAGATGAAGAAAATAGGTCAGAGGTAACCCAAGAGGTTCTTCAAACTTACTAAAACACCCCTAAAGCAATTCAGGACCAGAGCTCCTTTTCTGGCATAGTTAGGGAATGAATGATCCTTGGAGACTTGGATACAGAGCCATAAACCATCCCTAGCACCCCAGCTCTTGACCAAGAGGGCCAGATGAGAAAGAATCAGTGAAACAACTCAGGAAACATGAAAAATTAGAGCAAAAAGTCACTCCCAAAAGAAATCCTTAGCTCTTTTGCAATGGATACCAACTTAAATGAAACAGTTAAAATGACAAAGAATTTTGAATATGGATTTAAGAAAGCTCAATGAAATTCAAGAGAAAATAGAAACCCAACACAAAGAAGCCACAAGAACAATTCAGGAAATGAATGAAAAATTCTCTAAAGAAATCAAAGTATTAAGGAAGAACCAAACAGAAATTCTGGAAATGAAAGATGCAATCAAAGAATTATAAAAACAGTGGAAAGCCTTAAGAATAGGCTAGATCACACAGAAGAAAGAATCTCAGAGCTTAGAGATAACACCTATAAGCTAAACAAATCAGTTGAAGGGAAAGAACACAGAAGCAAGAGGCCTGAACAAAGCATACAAAAAATGTAGGATTATGTAAAGAGGACAAACATAAGAATCATAGTAAGCCATGAGGGTGAAAAAGAAAATACACAAGAGTTGGAAAATCTATTTGAAGTAATAATTGAGGAAAATGTCCCCAGCCTAGCCAGAAATCTAGATATCCAGGTACAAGAAGCATATAGGACTCCTGGGGGATCCAATATGAAAAAGCAATCACCACATCACATAGTTATTAGGCTGGCCAAAGTAAACACGAAAAAGGCACTCCTTCATGCAGTAAAGTGAAAACAGCTGATAACCTAAAAAGGAAAACCTATTAGACTAACTGCAGATTTCTCAGCTGAAACTTTACAAGCCAGAAGGGACTGGGGACCTATCCTCAGTGTTCTAAAACAGAAAAATGGCCAGCCTAGAATTCTTCATCCTGAAAAACTAAGCTTCTTATATGAGGAAGAAATAAAGACTTTCACAGGCAAGCAATCACTGATGGAATTTGCAAACACCAGACCTGCCCTGCAGGAAATACTTAGACCTGCATTATACACTGACCAGTGCAATAGACACCCGCTGGTGTAAAATCACCCAAAAGCTAAAGTCTAGAACCCAGATTCAACAATGGATCAAGATGTAAAACAAAGCAATAAGAGTCTACCTAATAGGATGAACAGAAATCCACTCCAAATATCATAAATGTGAATGGCTTGAATTGCCCTGCCCACTGAAAAGGCTGGCTGAATGGATAAAAACATACCAGGCAAATATCTGCTGTCTCCAGAAATGCATCTTGCCCACAAGAACTCATTCAGACTCAGGGTGAAGGGATGAAAAACAACATTCTAGGCAAATGGAAACCAAAAGAAAGCTGGTATAGCCATTCTTCTATCAGATAAGATAAACTTTAAAGCAATAAAAGTAAATAAAGGCAAAGATCATCACTATATAGTAGTGGAGGGAAAACTTAAACAAGAAGACTTAACAATCCTAAATATGTATAAACCCAACACAGGAGCACCCAGATACGTAAAGCAAATCCTGCTTACTCCAAACAAACATGATAAATAGTAATGCCATAATAGCCAGGGACTTCAACACACCCTGGCAGAACTGGATCAATCCTCCAAACATAAAATAAACAAAGAAACAATGGACTTAAACAGAACTCTAGCACAAATGTGCCCAAGGGACATGTACAGAACATTCCACCCAAATAACAACGAATATATGTTCTTTTCATCAGCTGATGGAACTTTTTCTAAAATTGATCAGATGCTAGGCCACAAAACAGATCTCAACAAATTTAAAAAATTATAAATTATACCATGCATATAAAGTCATGAAAATTAAAGAATTTACTGCTGAATGATTGTTGGGGGAAAAGCTCCATGTGGGCTCCTTCTATGGAGTAACACAGCTGTGTGAACTCCAGGCAGCCCCCTTGACTGGGCTATATATGCAGACATAGTGTTTTAATTGATACCACAAAAATCTTAATATATAGTCTTAACATTAGAAGTCTTGATATATGGCAGTATATGTCTTTCTTCAAAATTTCCTTGCCTACTCATCTTCCTTTACATTTCCATACAGGTTTTAGAATCAGCCTGTTAATTCGTACAAGTATCTTACTAGAATTTTGATTGAGGTTACATTAAATCAATGGATCAATTTGGAAAAAATTAATCATTATCAAGCAATATTGCTAAATGAATTATATTCATAAGAGATATTGGTCTGTAGTTTACTTGTTTTGTTGTGTCTTTTCCTGGCTTTTGTATCAAGGTCATATTGCCATCAAAGAATGAGTTGGGAAGGATTCCATCCTTCTCAATATTATGGAATAATTTCTGCAGTGTAGGTACCAGTTCTCTTTGTAGGTTTGGAAAAATTCAGATATGAACCCTTCTGGTCTGGGGCTCTTTTTTATTGGAAAATTTTTTATTGCTGCTTCAATTTCAATGCTTGATATTGGTCTGTTCAGGAATTCTATTTCTTGCTGATTGAGCTTAGGAAGGTTGTGTGTTTCTAAGAATTTGTCCATTTCCTTTACATTTTCAAGTTTTGGGGGATAGAAATTCAATATAGAGATAGCTACTATTATAAAAACTAAACAAAGAGAAGTTTTGAAAACTGAAGACTTCAATGAGTAAAATAAAATTACATTTGAAAGCTCCAATAGCAAAGTAGATCAAGTAGAAGAAAAAATTTCTGAACTTGAAGACAGGTCTTTTGAAATAACCCAGTCAGAGAAAAGGCAAAAACAAAACAAAACAAAACAAAAACACCCAAAACAAAAACAAAAAATAAACAAAAAAATCAAAAAGAGCTAAGGAATCCTACAAGACCTATGGGACACATTAAATGACAAATATTTTCATTATAGCTACCCATAAGGAGAAGAGATGGAGAAAGTCAAAGAAAGCATATTTAATGAGATATTAGCTGAAAACACCTCAAGCTTTAATAAAAGCTAGATTTTGCTCAAAGAAATAATAGCACAAGAGTATTTTGCATTGAGGCTGCCCTTTCTTGTCACTATTGGAATCTGGGGCCATATGTGATTGAGCCTAAGTTAGTCTGCTGGCAGATAAGAAGCAATGAGGTTCTGGTAAATGAGGTTCTGGTAAATGTTTAAAAGATGGTTTTTGGTGTCTATCTTAGGGGGAGGCAGAAAAGGCCCTGATATTTAGTGTATTCCAATATTTGTGGTATAAATACTCCCACCATAGCAGATTTCAAGCTAACTAGAGTTTAACAAACACCTCACTAACTGACTACTACTTCTTCCAGGCTTTGGACCACTTCTTGCAAGGAAAAATATTAAATTCTCAACAAGCTTTGGGAAACGTATTTCACAATTTCATTGCCACTTGCTTTCTAGGCTTCTTGGCTGTTGGCATAAACAAACTACCATTAAGATAGCACAACTATGTCTATAGTTTAGGCACATACTTTGATTAATTGTACTGCTTCTTATTTGAGATATAATAAACTACACTTTTGATTAAAAAAATATATATGTAAATATATATACAGTCATAGCAATAAATGGTCTAAGGATTCTATAGATTCTAAGGCAGATATTGCCAGGATGAACAAAACAAGCAAGACTCAACTATTTGCTGCCTATAAGGAATCCACTTTAAATATAAAGACACAGATTTTTGAAATGTAAAAGGCTTGAAAAAGATCTACAATGGACACAGTAACAATAGGGAGCTGAAGCAGTCATATTGATATCTGACTCTGTAGAATTCGCAACAAGGAATATTATCATGGGTAAAGAGAGACATGTCATTTTAGTCAGGGGCTTAATCTATCATCAAGAAGACATGTTAATTCTAATCTGTTTGCAGCTAATTTTAGAGCTTTAAAATATATAGAACTAAACATTTATTCTTATCAAATCATTTTTTCTAAGTAATTTGAGAAGTTATATAAACATAAAAACCTGCACAAAAATATTTATAGTAGCTTTGTTCATAATCACCACAACATGGAAGCAAAAAA